TCAAATATCCAAATCACAACAATAATCAGTACAGTATGAATCATAAAAGAAAGAAGTTACTATAATCCATCTAATCAATAAGAAGGCTGTCTTTTCCTCCAAATCCTTTAAGGTTTAACTGTTAATATGTTCCTGTTAAGAAAAACCTAAATTTTGAATGTCATACAAACATTAACCCCAAAATAAAATTAGAGTCCATAAATGGTGTCTCTGATGAATTCAGTTCTGGGTCACATTTACTATTCAAATATGAGGTTAGTTTGGATATCAAGACATACTACTGCAGCTTAATACAGGTATTCCCTGATGGTAACTGGGACTGGGAAATCGGACGCTAAGTAACGCAGTCGTAAGGCACGACATCACGTGACCACGCCAACTTACGACTGCAGTTCTAGCGTGTCATTAGGCAAAACTCACGCAGTCGCAGTGTCTGGCTGTCACGTGATCACCATTTGCAACCTCCTACCGGCTTCCCCATTGACTTTGCTCATCAGAAGTTGGCAGTGAAGGTCACAAATGACAAACACATGCTCGCGGGGTGCTGCAATGTTATAATTGTGAGTCAAGTGCCCAAATCACGATCACATGACTGCGGGGATGCTGCGACTGCCACAACTACAAGGACACGTCATAAGTACCCCTCGTTCAGCACCATTGTAACTCTGAAAGGATGTGGAATGAGCGTACGTTAAGCGAGGACTGCCTGTAAGAGCACCACTCCTCCACAGAAGGAGCTGCGTTTGCTTTCTGGGATGATCTCTGGAGTATTCCTGCAGCTGTAACCACATGCAGGGCTCGTTCAGTCTACTCTGTGGGAACAAAAGGTTTAATAATATTTAAGTTTTTAAAAGTGGCTGGCTGAAAAGAAAGTTCTAGTTCCAGAATTTGTTTCATTCTATTATAAAACATTGCCCAAAATTCCTGGTTTTACAATATTGCCCCCAAATATGAAGAAATGTTAAAATCTAATACAGTGGTACCTCGGGATACAAATTTAATGTGTTCCGTGACTCTGGGCGTATCCTGAGTTGGTCGTAACC